TATTTTCACAAGTCTGATGTTTGCTGCTCTGTATGGCTATGCAGCACAGAGCATTATATACAACTACCGACGGAGCTCCTGAGGCTGTTCTGAAGACTTGATTGCCATAATAGTTCTCTTCCTCTTTGGTTCAGTTAAAGGAATATACTGCCAATAAGTTCAGATTGCCAGGGACAAGGATTGGTTTCATGGGTGTGTGACCTGGGCAGCCACCCAAGTCCCCATGCTTAGAAGGGTCTTCAGCATGATTCAATGCTCTGCTTTCACCATCTTGTAATTCTTAATGATTTTTGAACAAGGGGCACTGCATTTTCATTTTTCGCTGGGCCCTGTGAATTATGTAGCCATTCCTGCCTGATTTAGATGTGTTTCATAGTATGCTTTTTGTATCCAATCAAAATGGAATGAAATCACTGAGATACTAATTTACAATTCAACATTTACCCATTCAACAAATACTTTTTGGACACTTAATATGTGTTAAGTACTATGATAGGCACCATCACAGCCAAGGTGGAAGAATGGCCAACAAGAAGCTTTGTCTCTGTTGTTTCCTTAAAAAGCTTTACCTGTTCATTAAGGAACAGAGACAAGAGATAAGGATACTGTGTTAAAGTATAATAAATACCATAAAAGCAAAGTGTAGGATTCTATGGGAGCACATAGAAGAGTTATCAAATGTAAACTCCCTTTATAAATAATTTGCACATTTTTATGTTGATGATAACATGATGGTCAAACTGTGTTCTCTTTTTTCAAAAGTTGTATGTAGGATATCTGTTTCAGAACGTTAGTAGGACATGTTCTGTTACAACCAGCCCTCCTAAGGTTTATGCTGTTTCAGCACTGGAGGTTTTCATGAGCTTCTAGAAGGAAGGAAAAGAAAGGCAAATTGTTTGCTCCTTGCCAAACTCATGCTAATGGGTCTCCCTTTTAAGTGAAATGCAATGAATGAGCACCTTTTAATGAGTTATTTGGAAAACATCTCCCCCAGAGTTAAGAGACCCATAAGCTTGATCATATCTGCTGCTCAAGAGGACATGATGAATTCATTTTGCTCTCAGTGGCCCTAATCATTAAGCTAATCCTTTCCCCATCCTCCCTACCACATGCCCGCATTAGGAGGCCCATGTATATATAAGGTGATGGCAACCCAAAGCGAAACGATGCCATAACCGACATCCCGATCGTTCTGTGCAGGATGGTGGACATGCTTAGTAATACATGATATGAAAAGGTCTTTTATTGACAAGCTGCCATGAGCTGTTTGCATTAGCAAATATGAGAAGATGATGGCTGCTCCCCCTTTGTCCCCATGGTATTCGGCTCAGTGAGATGGCAGAAAGCGCTTCAGTTTACTTAAAGCATTGATAACACCTCTAAATAATTAACTGAGGACTTCCTGTCTTCAATTACTTAATGCTTTTTTTAACATCTTGAGAGGATTATAAGCAATTTATGGATTTCACATGATGAGTGCATTCGCCACTATTCCCACAAAGCATTTACGGGATCATGTTTCTAAAGCTTTGAGGTAATTAAAAATAAGCATGGAGACAATGGGGCTGAGGCAAGGTGCTCGCTTTCCCTTCTGCCATTTCAAAGGACCTGATTTTCAGGCTCCAGGATGACTCGTGCTACAGCCTTATTAGTGTTCGATTGCTACTGGGGAATGCCCAGGTTTTGGAAATGATGAGAACATCAAAATGTTTTTCCTAGAGGGTTCAGGCAGTTCTACATCAAACATTGGAGCAGGAATGTGAAATAAATTATTGTTTTCGTTCATTCCATGAATTCAAAAACTTCCACACTGAATTTGGTTAGTTTGCTAACCACGGAACTGAACTTTCTCTAGCAGGTAAAGTGCATCAACACTATTAAGATCTCAGATTTTAGATTATCTGATGTGCAGCCCCATTCCTGTTCCACAGGAACTACGTACAGGAGGCTCTGTACTTGGTAAGGTTTTGCTGAATGAGGGTTTATTTCCTTATTTAACAAAGAAATCTCTTTTTAGGGCTGCATTGCCCAGATGAAATACTCTCTAAAGGTATTTAAAACAGTACATAGGAATGGATCAAATGAATTCTAAAGACTTTTCTTCGTTTTTATGATCTTATAAAAAGCAAAATTACGTGGAAAAACTTTTAAATATTTATCCTAATAGAAGAGAAATTCTGGCATCAAGTTTTGTGTATGAAATCCTCTCACATGAAAATATCCATTAAAAAAGGAAGAACTGGTAGAGTGAAGGTGTTTAAAGAAAAATCTTTGCAATTATTTTATAATTAACGAGGCTATCAATCCTTCTGGTTTGCAAATTATAATTGAACCGGGTCTATTGGTGTATAAATGCTGGTTTCTAAAAAATGCAAACCAGTACAGCTGGCCACAGTTCAAAGCCCATGCTGGTAAAATAGATACTGTAAGAAGAAACTTCCTTATCCTTGTATCCCAGTTTATTGTGAAAGCTTTACTGGTACCGCTATAGGTTGAGTTTATTCTCATTTCTTGTCCCTGCTATGACAAGGACTTGAAAGGCAGAGACACAACTCCAAAAGAGGACTGGCCACAGCCAAGGTAGACAAAGGCCTCAGTCTCTTAGGGGAGTGTCTATTTATCACATTCTAGCAGGGAGGCGCCTCTTTGATTGACAGTTTGAGGCCATTTGATTGACAGTTCTAGTTAGACGCCCATTCCACTTGGTGGGAAAGTCTTTTCCAAAACGTACAGAGAAAAGCCCATGGGTGGGGTGGGGGGAGAAGGTAGGTAAACAAAAACCTCAATTTTATTGTAGTGAGATCTTGATGAGGTGTGGTTTGGTGGTTCTTAGTTTTGTTCGGTTGTGCCTGCACTGGGACCTGGTGGGAACAGGTTTGGCCTGGTCCCAGTACGCAAGAAGTTGCCTTCCTGGAAGGCCTATGTTGTGTTTGTGTGGGATCCTTACCAGGGCAGAGTTTGGGCAGTTTTTCTTTGTACTTCATATTTCCCTTCCCTGGCTGCTCCTATCTATCTTTCTACCTAATAGTGCTAAGTGTTAATGTGACTTAAAATGCCTTTCAAAACGCTGTACTTACCCTGCCTAGTCATTCTTTTGATTTCTCTCACTGCAACCTGTGTAGAGGTCTGTTGTGGCATCGGTTACCCTGTATTTGCAGTTATTCCTCAATGTGTCAGTGTTCCCTATTACTGGGAGCTTCTTAAGAACAGTGAGGTTATTTTAGAGCATTTAGTATAACATCTACAACATAGTAAGCAGGCCCCTGTGTTTTTTCTTTGGAATCAAACAGTGTTCTGAGCTCTCCATGGATGGAGGCACTGAATGCCCTAGGCACCCTGAGTAGTTTTCCTCTTCATCTTTCAAATGTGGAAATTAAAAACATCTCTCACTTATCTTACAGGGATGTGATGAGAATCAAATGAGTCAAAATGCAAATGGTTCTTTAACGTTATGAAGCACTATATAAAGGTAAGGTTTTTAATTATGTAAAACAACATTATTTCAATTGTAGTGATTTTTTATTTTAAGTGAAATAAGATGTAATGAACAAATTTGATCATCTGAATTGATGAGGGCTTTTCTCATCCCCATTTTCATCAATTTAGCTCAGGATCTTCAGAGAAGGAGCACAATGTGCTCATCTGTAAATATTTATTAAGCACCTTCTGTAGGCTTATTGCACTTTTGGAAAACAGTGGACATCAGTCAGTGACTCTTACTTGTGAGTCAGGGAATTGGGGAGTTAAGAGAAAATCATAACAGATTTATTTTTCTCCCTGTGTAATATAGCCTGTGCTTCCTCTAAGGAAAAATTAGGCATACACTTCCGAGCCTTTCTGTATTTCTATGTGAGTTCTAGTATCAATGCCTCTTGCAAAGTGTGGGGGTCCAATGGAAGGGGGACATTGCCTCACTTGGCCTTGAAGGGAGGCTGCTGACAAAGGAGTAAATGCAAACTGCTCTCATAATCTAAATTAACACAACTATTTGGGATGATCCAGTAGATTCAAATAATGAACTAAGTTACTTAACCTCTGGAAGTATTCTATTCTGTAAGCTGGGGGTAATAATTCCCTCTCTCCATAGGTATGTGATAGAATCAAATTACATAGTACACGGCATGTGGCACATACTAAATTGGCTTATTCCCCAAACATTTATTTAGCACCTATGAATGTGTCCAGGGTTATTCTAGGTGCAAGAAGAACAGTATTGAAATAGGTCTCTGCAATCCTGGGACTTGCATTTCATTGTGGGCGGGGGGGCATAAAAAGGCAAATAAAAAACAAACAATCAGGGAGTGAGAGGTCTGTGATGAAAATAAAACAAGATGATGTGGTGGTATATTAGAGAAGCTGCTCTAGACTGGGTAAGTCAGAAAACGCTTCTCTTCAGAAGTGACATTCAAACTAAAACGTGTTAATTATTATAATCACTGCTAGTAATTATCTGACATTATAATGCACTGTACTGTTATTATTTTAAAGTTACTTATAACAAATAATGTTATGATAAATAAAGTTACTACAATTACTATAAATAAATGTTAATAATAATAAAAATTGTCACAACCAGTCAGCTGTCAACTGTTCTGTGTATTAATTACCCACTCAGTAGATAAATGTTGGCGTCTGGCTGATCTTCCCCTGCCTTCAAGTACATTCTTGGCTATCCTAGTCCCATTATCTATGAGTATATCCTTGGGGAATGAAAATGCATCTCACTGTTTAGAAAAAAAAAATTAATACTGATGCAAAAATCCTACACATAATGCGTATCAAAGCCAAATATAAATTATTTCTGAAGTTATCTGCTGTTGTGGCTTATTGCTGTCAGTGTGGGCTCCTCTATTAGCATGGATAAGTGGGACCTGACCATATGTCAAGAGAACACGTCCTTTCAAAGTGACCTCATATATCAAATGCACACCCCCGGGATGCATGGCCCCCCAACCACAATGACAGACTCTTCCACTAGGTTCTCCTCTTTTTTTTTTCACCTGTGACCGTATGTTGCCTCCTGTCAGTGGTGTCAGTGTAGATGAGACCTTTCCCAGCCTGCCTGAGCTGGTACTCTTTAATGACGCCATTTGGTTTCTCAGGGATGCTCCAGCTCAAATGCAGAGCCTCCGCACTGGGGGCTGTGATTCTTGGTGGCAAGATGCTCTGCGGAACTCCTTGGGTTGTAGCTGCAACTACCTGAAAACATGGGAATTAAACAGCAATTCAATGTAATAGTACACTAGGTATTCTGCTCAATGAGAATGTCACTTTTGTTTTCAAATGTCGTTGTCTGGCCTGGCATATCATTAGCAGGGGCTTGGAGAAGCAGTCCCCTTTTTATTCTTTCCCTCCCATCCTATTTCAACAATGAAATCTGACCTTGAATGCATTACATAAGTCTCAGACTACCATTTATCACAACAGGTTCAACAATAATTTTGATGGCAGAGTGCAGCCCTCAGTTTAAACAAGTAAAATCTGGCTGGCAGACTGTCTTCCTAGAGAACTCTTGATAACTCTCTTCCATATGGCCCATCAGTGTCTTTGCATTTTAACAGCCTGATTTTGTACATTTTAAGCACCAGTAAATATGGAGCAAAACCCACATCTGAGCTTGCTTGCATATAATATGCTTTGAACAGTATAATTGGAAAGGCTTTTTCTGTACTCTTCCTATCATACTCAGGATGACTTTAGAGGGTCTGCACCAATGTTCTAGAAAAAGAACTGAATGAGAGGAAAAAGAAGACAAATCAACCAGTTATTTATTCAACATTGTCAAAACATAATTTCGGATGAAAACTGGCTGCATTTGCTTTTACATGGAATTAACTCCTATTTCACTTTTTAGCCAATTGCTTTGACATCTGGTAGGCATGAGCTGTGCTTCTGCAAAAACCATGGAATTTTTCTAGGACCATTTGCACCATAACTTTTGATCGGACCGATCGGTTGCCATCTGTCTAAATGGCGGCACACTCAGAGAAGTTTCTGGGGCCTGCTGGATAAGGAACTGCACACATGCACTGCCGCTGGTCCGTCTGACTGAATGTTTTACTTGGATGGTTCTTGCTCAGTGTGTGAAGATGCTGCTCTTCTAAAGTTTTAACCACATGAAAAAAAATCAGAGCTGCCTATGTGTGAGTTTGTTTCTCCTGGATTTACATGGACTCAGCTAGCTTCTGTGAAATGCCTCTCTCTTTATTTTCCTCCTAAATTGTTTGATTGTTTCTTCCCAGTCTGCTGTGTGGACTCTTGTTTCTCCATTTAGTAGCATTCCCAATGCTCCCCATTTATGGTCTTCTGTTTATTGTCTTTCTCTCTGTTCTCTTTAGATGACCTTATTCAAACTCCTTGCATCCACTTCCCTTATAGATCTTCCTAGTGAATTTTAGGCACTTCTTAATCTAGCTTCTGACTAAATATTTTCTCTTAAAGTAACAAATGTTTACTTCTACCACTCTGCTCCTTCTCTTAAATACGTTTTTTAAAACATTTAAAATTTTAGTTTTATTCTTTAGTTTTAAGTTTTCCTTTTTTTCATTTGCTTGCAGGCACTGTGATCAGCAAATCGCTCAATTCAGATAGTTTGAAAATATCATTGATACTTTCCTTTTGTAAGGTAGACTACCAAGCCCTGTAGATTTTGTCCCCCGATATTTGTTGTATCTTTCTTATATTCTCGATTCTGCCCTCTGTTACATGAGTTCAGGTCTTGACTATTTCTTGATGAGGCTGGTGCAGAAAAGTGTTGGAACTATTCGATTTTACATGCCAGGCTCTTCTGCCCTTTTCTCTGTTTTTCAAGAATGGGAAATTTTTGTTGACATATTTAAATAGAAACCCTTTTAAACTGAGGAATGGTTTGGGAATTATTATAGATTTATAGAAGACCATGTAAAGATAGTTTTTGGAGGCAAAGTGTGATAAGGGCATAATATTGGCTCAAGTTCTCTTTTTTCCCTTCTTTTTTTATTGAGGTAAATATAGCATATTTGGTACATATAACATTATGTAAGCTAAAGGTGCACAATGATATAATTCAATATCTTTACGCACTACAAAGTGCTCACCATCCTAAGTTGTTATCATTCATCTTCATGCAATTGATCCCCTTCACCCATTTGCCTATTTCCAGCCCTTTCCTGTGGTATATCAGTGGTTTTGTAATTCTTTGGGTAAATACCCAGAAGTGGGATAGCTTGATAATATGGTAGTTCTATTCTCATAGTGGTTGCACCAATTTATACTCCCACCAACAGTATATGAGGGTTCCCTTTCTCCACATTCTGCCTAATATTTATCTCTGATCTTTGTGATAACAGCCATTCTAACCAATGTGATGTAATTCCTCTTTGTGGCTTTGGTATGCATTTCCCTAATAATTAGTGACATAGAACATCTTTTCATATGCCTGTTGGCCATCTGCGTGTCTTTTGTGGAAAAAATATCTATTCAGATCCTCGGCTCAATTTTTAATTGGGTTGTTTTTGTTAAGTAGTGTGAGTTCTTTATGTATTTTGGATATTAATCCCATGTCAGATTTATGATTTGCAAAACTCTCCCATTCATAAGGATGCAATCCCTATATTATGTTTTTGTTTTGATGATGGCTTCTTTTTCTGTGTCGCAGCTTTTGAGTTTGATATAATCTATTTTTTTTTTGTTTTTTTGTTTGCTTTTGTTTCCCTTGTTTTGGAATCAGATCCACAAAATATTGCTGAGACTGATGTTGTGGAGCTTACCACATATATTTTATTCTAGGAATTTTATGGTTTCAGGATCTACTTTCAAGTCCTTATACCATTTTGAGGTAACTTTTTTATGTATGGTGTTAAACAGTGGTCTAGTTTGATTCTTTTGCATGTGGTTATCTAGTTTTCTTGACATCATTACTAAAGAGACTGTCCTTTATTTTTAAATATTTTTATTGAAGTATACTTAATATACAATATTATAATGGTTGCAAATATACAAGACAGTGTTTCAATAGTCATATACATTATTTAATCCTCACCCCAAAGAGTGTAGTTACTGTCAACGCAGATGTTACAGAACTATCGACTACATTCTCTATGCTGTACTTTCAACGTTGTGAGTAATTTATATTATGATTGAGATTTTTGTGCCTCTTTATCCCCTTCCCTTATTATAACCCACCCACCCCAACTCCTGCAGCATGGTAACCACCAGTCACTTCCCAGTTTCTATGAGTCTACTGCTGTTTTGTTCACTTTGTTTTGTTTTGTATTTAGATTCTACATATAAGTGAAGTCACATGGTACTTGTCTTTCTCCACCTAGTTTATTTCACTGAGCATAATATCCTCTAGATCTACCCATGTTTTTGCAAATGGCAGAATTTCTTTATTTTTGATGACTTCATAATATTCCATTGTAGATATGTATCACCTCTTCTTTATCCATTCATCTATAGATAGATACTTTGGTTGCTCCCATATCTTGGCTTTTGTAAATAATAAGACAGTAAACATAAGGGGTAGACTCTTGTCTTTTTGAATCAGAGATTTTGTTTTCTTCAGGTAACTTCCTAGTAGCAGAGTTAATGGGTCATATGGTATTTGTTTTTAGTTTATTGAGGAGCCTCCATACTGCTTCCCATTGTGTCTGCACCAATTTATATTCCCACTAAGAGCATGAAAGACTTTCCTTTTCTCCATATCCTTGTCAACACTTGTCATTTCTTGTTTTCTGGATAGTGCCCATTCTGACTGGTATGAGATGATATCTCATTGTGGTTTTGATTTTCATTTCCCTGATGATTAACAATGTGAAGCATCTCTTCTTTTTTGCTTGTTGGCCATCTGTATATCTTCTTTGGAAAATGTCTGTTCAGGTCCTCTGCCCATTTCTTAAGTGTGTTATTTATTTTTTGGTGCTGAGGCATATGAGTTATTTATATATTTTGATGTTAACCCCTTATTGGATATATCAGTTACAAATATATTCTCTCATACTGTAAGTTTGCCTTTTTGTTTTTTTGATGATGTTCTTTTTCTGCACAGAACCTTTTTAATTTGATGTGGCATCACTTGTTTATTTTTTATTTTGTTTCTCTTGTCCAGGGAGATGTGTCTAAAAAAAAAATTGCTCATGATTATGTTCAAGAGACTTTTTTTATATTTTACTGTAAGAATTTTATGGTCTCATATTTTATACTTAGGTTTCCCTAATAATTAGTGACATAGAACATCTTTTCATATGCCTGTTGGCCATCTGCGTGTCTTTTGTGGAAAAAATATCTATTCAGATCCTCGGCTCAATTTTTAATTGGGTTGTTTTTGTTAAGTAGTGTGAGTTCTTTATGTATTTTGGATATTAATCCCATGTCAGATTTATGATTTGCAAAACTCTCCCATTCATAAGGATGCAATCCCTATATTATGTTTTTGTTTTGATGATGGCTTCTTTTTCTGTGTCGCAGCTTTTGAGTTTGATATAATCTATTTGTTTTTTTGTTTTTTTGTTTGCTTTTGTTTCCCTTGTTTTGGAATCAGATCCACAAAATATTGCTGAGACTGATGTTGTGGAGCTTACCACATATATTTTATTCTAGGAATTTTATGGTTTCAGGATCTACTTTCAAGTCCTTATACCATTTTGAGGTAACTTTTTTATGTATGGTGTTAAACAGTGGTCTAGTTTGATTCTTTTGCATGTGGTTATCTAGTTTTCTTGACATCATTACTAAAGAGACTGTCCTTTATTTTTAAATATTTTTATTGAAGTATACTTAATATACAATATTATAATGGTTGCAAATATACAAGACAGTGTTTCAATAGTCATATACATTATTTAATCCTCACCCCAAAGAGTGTAGTTACTGTCAACGCAGATGTTACAGAACTATCGACTACATTCTCTATGCTGTACTTTCAACGTTGTGAGTAATTTATATTATGATTGAGATTTTTGTGCCTCTTTATCCCCTTCCCTTATTATAACCCACCCACCCCAACTCCTGCAGCATGGTAACCACCAGTCACTTCCCAGTTTCTATGAGTCTACTGCTGTTTTGTTCACTTTGTTTTGTTTTGTATTTAGATTCTACATATAAGTGAAGTCACATGGTACTTGTCTTTCTCCACCTAGTTTATTTCACTGAGCATAATATCCTCTAGATCTACCCATGTTTTTGCAAATGGCAGAATTTCTTTATTTTTGATGACTTCATAATATTCCATTGTAGATATGTATCACCTCTTCTTTATCCATTCATCTATAGATAGATACTTTGGTTGCTCCCATATCTTGGCTTTTGTAAATAATAAGACAGTAAACATAAGGGGTAGACTCTTGTCTTTTTGAATCAGAGATTTTGTTTTCTTCAGGTAACTTCCTAGTAGCAGAGTTAATGGGTCATATGGTATTTGTTTTTAGTTTATTGAGGAGCCTCCATACTGCTTCCCATTGTGTCTGCACCAATTTATATTCCCACTAAGAGCATGAAAGACTTTCCTTTTCTCCATATCCTTGTCAACACTTGTCATTTCTTGTTTTCTGGATAGTGCCCATTCTGACTGGTATGAGATGATATCTCATTGTGGTTTTGATTTTCATTTCCCTGATGATTAACAATGTGAAGCATCTCTTCTTTTTTGCTTGTTGGCCATCTGTATATCTTCTTTGGAAAATGTCTGTTCAGGTCCTCTGCCCATTTCTTAAGTGTGTTATTTATTTTTTGGTGCTGAGGCATATGAGTTATTTATATATTTTGATGTTAACCCCTTATTGGATATATCAGTTACAAATATATTCTCTCATACTGTAAGTTTGCCTTTTTGTTTTTTTGATGATGTTCTTTTTCTGCACAGAACCTTTTTAATTTGATGTGGCATCACTTGTTTATTTTTTATTTTGTTTCTCTTGTCCAGGGAGATGTGTCTAAAAAAAAAATTGCTCATGATTATGTTCAAGAGACTTTTTTTATATTTTACTGTAAGAATTTTATGGTCTCATATTTTATACTTAGGTCTTTAATCCACTTAGATTTTTACTTTTGTGTGTGGAGTTAAACAGTAATCCAGTTTCATTCTCTTGTGTGTTGCTCTCCAGTTTTCCCAATACCATTTATTGAAGAGATTGTATTTTCCTCATTGTATATTCATGGCTTCTTTGTCATATAATTGACCATATATAGGTGTGAATTTATTTATGGGCTCTTTATTCTCTTTCACTGATATATGGGTGAGTTTTTGTGTCAGTACCATACAGTTCTGATTACTGTAGCCTGTAGTATAGATTGAGAGACTGTCCTTTTTTCATTGTGCATTCTTGACTTAATTGTCCACATATGTGTGGGCTTATTCTGGGCTTTGAAATCTGTTCCATCGATCTGAATCCATTTTTATGCCAATACCACATAGTTTTGATTACTATAGTTTTGTAGTATAATTTGAAATGCTTTTTCATTTGTTTTTAAATTAATGAAACCTTGATATTTGGATAATCTCCCTTCCAGTGATCTCTCCTTTCAGGCATAAGTATTTGTCCTCAGTTGAGATGACATATAAACACCCTACTTAACACTATATTACATCAACATTGTTCTCTGTCATTGGAAAAAATTGCTCACAAGCTGGGTATCATATAGTCTTCACACCGGATACTTCTGTTCAGAGTTTAGGCAATGTCTCCTTACCTTACTGCTGGCAGAACAGCCAGCAACTGTGCAAGCTTTCAGCTGGTATGAATATTCCTGAAATGGTTGAATTCCCTTTGTATCAGAGAAGCTCAGTGATGTTCCCTGAAAGCACTTGATTCCATTTCGGAGAAGAATGTAGTAAATAATAGGCCCTAAAAGGAGAAGAGAAATGCATCTATTTGAGTGTCATCTTTTTAATGATTTGCAAATAACTGGTGTGTTTCAGAGTTCTGAAGGAAAGGTAACAATATAGCTATATTTAATTTTAATTTGCTATTATATTGCTACTATACTGCTATATTCTTATGAAGTAAATGGATTCTGGACACAGACAAATAGAGCCATATATGTCTTTTTCCCCTCACTTCAAACAAATTTACTTTCAATACTATACCATATTGCCTCCTCTTAACATGCTTTACTTGTTTGAAAGCAGCTCATATATATGCTAGTATTCAAGAAATAATTTTTTTCTGGCTGAAAGTCTGAGGGCTATTTCAGAAAATGAATAATTAGATGGGATAAACCTAAAGTTCCCTTTATCGCCGATAAGTTTTAGTGGTCAGATGTATGCCAATTAAATGTAGATTATACTCATCTCAATTTCCTTATAGATTTATAGATTATGTTATTTCAATTTTAAAATTAGCTTAATACCATTTGGTTGTATAGGTTTATTCCAGTTTAAGACTATTACATCTTCAAGATTATCCATTGTGGTCCACCTAGGAGGACTCACTCCTTGAGGCACATCTTCTTTTGTACAGGCTCTAACAGCTTTGCTGAAACCTCGCCCATAGCTATTCCATGCAGAAATTCTGTATTCATACGTCATGTTCGGTTCTAGGTCCACATCTGGAAAGATAGAGATCAGTGAGATTTTTCTTTAATTTTAATTCTTAATTTTTTGACACCATATTTAAAATGAATATAAAAACCTTTAAACAAGAATAAATACTTGATGCATAAACCCACTGTGTGTAAGCAAAACTAATATCTTTATATTCTAAATAATAAAAAAAATTTTTAAGTGTTAGATGCAGAGATACAGAGTCACAGAAAACAAAATTCACCTTTTCTGGAGGAAAATATGGATACATTAAAGAAGGGACTGAAGAATAAAAGCATTAGTCTTATGTACATTAGATATTAATGCTTCTCAAGTCACATACCCTTTACTTCTATGAGACAGGTTGGCCAGTATTTCTTTATAGTTTTATCATTGTAAATTTGACCAATTATTACTTTGTTAATATTTCTTTATTAAATTATTATGTGAAATATTGTGCAGTTTTATGGGACTTGAAACTTAACTCATCACAGTTAGTGAATAAAAATGAATACACACTACACACTACATATTTCCTTCCTCCTTCTGCCAAACCAGAGCTGAAACCAAAAGCACAAGCAACCAATCTAATTAAAACAGCAAACCAACTAGCTGAGTTTTGTGGACTGGGAAAAATTTTATTAGATAATCATCCATAAGATTCAACAGTGCCTCAAAAGTCATAGTTCAGCTTTAAGCTTTAATAGTTTCAGACTACAAATTAAAAAAAAAACAGTATTTGAAAGTTTAATTATTTAAATGTTTTCCACTTACTCAATTCTGTGAATTTTGAATACGTGTGTATGTATGTATTGCTGTGTGACAACTTCTGGGTGACTTTTTCTCAGATGGAGGACCAGAAGAAGGTCCTCCTTGGCTGCCAGGCCACCTACTCTCTCTTCTTTGGATGTGAGATTCTCAGTCCATCCACTTGGTTTATTTGACCACATTCTCCTTACATGAATTTCCTCATAGTAAACCCTGCTCTGCCTACTTTATAGAATTAGTATGAAAATGAAATGCAGCAAGTTATGTGGCAGGACTTCATAAAATGTAATTTACAATACAAATATAAGGGATTATCTTCTGTCTCCATTTTCTCTGGTAAGGCTATCTGACCCCTGTTACCTGCGATGACCACTGGTGGGTCCCCAGCTCTCCCATCTGTCCTGGTCAGGGACCTCTTTACTAGGGTCTACATTTCCCAATTTCCTACGTGGCTTGGTATGATCACATGAACAATGGTGGGAGCACGGAATTGATATGGGAAACTTGTGTATCCCTTCTTAAAGACGAAGTTGATTCCTTATGTATAAAGCAAAGAGAATCTTTAAAGCCACTCTTGAAGATCACAAGATTTAAATCTGACTTCTTATCACAAGTTATAGTTACAGATCTGACCCTCTGTTTCCTCTTCTGTTAAGCGGTCATATTTACATGATTGTTTTGTAGGTAAATTAAGGTAAGGTTCTAAAGGATCTAACACAACACTGAAAGCATATAATGTTCTATAAGATTTATCTCCATTCCTTCCTTAATCTACCCTCTCCTAATCCAGTATCCTGCCTTACTTTTTGAATTTAGAGGGTTTTCCATGATCACCAGCTACTGGTTGAGTTAGGCAGAATGACGAACTGTGATGGAGTAGAGCAGTTTCTTGTTTCTTTAACATTAACTTCCTTGAATTTTACATCACTTAAATGTATCCTATTGGACTTTGGATGATAGATGATACATATATATATATATATATGTATATATATATATACATATACATATATGTACATAAACACACAGTTACAAAGACATACACATTTTTAGAAGACAGAAACAAACTGTAGGACTTAAGTAAAAGGATAAATAATAAAAATTTAATATATGCCAGAATTATTTTGGAGATGATTCCAAACTTTACAGTGTTGTTCACTCAGCTTAGCCAACGATAAGAACCACTCTTTGGGACTAATTCAGTAGGGCCAAGATGGTACCTGGAAATTAACATTTTCAATAACCATGAAGGGTATTGTCCCTAAGATGATGGCCATTCTGGGGAAACACCAAGCTGTGGGAGCAGTTTCCGGTCCCAGCGGCGAGATCAAGAAAGAGGTACTGACTTTACACTGAGCAGTGAACCTCCTCCTCAGAGCAATGCTGCCGGGTCTTCCTAGTCGTCAGATTTCTTTTCTGCCTCCAGGTATAGCAACATTTATTAACTGCATTTATTGAAAGCCTGTATTTATACTTTTGAGGAAGACAATTGAGTTCTTTGAACATTAACTAGATATACCATTATAGGGCACATAAACTATTTATTCTTTGTTCTTTATTCTCTGCAGGTTCATTTAAAAATAGCATCCATCCTTGCTTAAATTCTGTCTTAGTTTTTAGCAGCTTTTCACCACCTCTACTAAGCCACGAGCAGGCCGCTTGCTGCTGTTACCTGTGAAGGAGAATGTGTTCAAGCTTCCTATATGCACGGTCTCTTCGGCAGATGAGCATATTTCTTCGGTTGATTCCCTTTCGGTGGAATTGTTGGATCCCCTTATCACAGTACAAATGTGGCTGGTAAAGTCGAAGTCACACCTGCCACAATGTGCTGTGGCTTCCAGAGAGGCTGGGCAGAGAGTCTCACACTCTCTGGTCTCCTAAATCAAGCAGAGAGGAGGAAGGAGGAGAACAGGGATTCGAAAAGTTCGTTTAGGGGTATGTGCGGTAGGTTTCTACAAGATTCACATGAAATTTTCTGTTTAGTTCATAAACAAGTATCTCAAAATTCATAAAAAGAAATGAAAGCAATTTGTGTACTCAGAAGTCATTACTTTGAAATGACATGGTTTTGGGTTCAAAACCCAGTTTTTCAACTTCCTAGATCTATAGTTCTATGACCTTGAGAAAGTCACTTATACTCTCTAAACCCCAACTTCTTCCGTGAGAAAATGGAAATGGAATTTACTTAGCAGGCCTGTTGTGTGAATTCAATGAGATAACACCTGTAAATGCCTTACACTTAGTAAATACACAATAAATAATGGCAATAGTCATTGTTAGTATTATGGTTTTTGACACTTTCCTAATAGAGTTTTAGAGAAAATACGGAATGTGGTATTTGAGAAGCTACACTTCCTTTGCTGTTGGAAAAGTTGGAATGATGAGAGGTATTCCTCATCCAAGTTTTAGAAAATCTACATATTTCATGAAGTGTTGTATTTGTAAACCTTTTCTCTGATGAATCTCTGGACTTTTGACAATCATTGATATGTACTAGTATGTTCTTGTCTCAGAAAATGAAACACTCTATCATCCCAAATTATAGGAGATACGAATAAGGTGATATGCTTATAATGCAGACCTCTACTTCACCTTTCTTTTATATAGGTAGAATAGTGTGTTTACAATAATTTTGTTATTTAAAATTGATATGCATTTAACCTGTCTCCTACTTTAAATAAGTCAAAGTATTCTCCCCAAGATTGCCAAAATGAAGTTGCTTCAGAAAAATACAGTAGGATTTCCATCTAAGTTTGTTGATTTGAATACCTGCCTTTATCTCCATTTCCTTTTCGAGCATGCCCAAATGACTGTAAAGGAATATGGGAAGTCTAAGGACACAGGAAGGGAATTCACACACAAAGGACAGTGCAAATATATCTGGACTCTGGGAAGTAGATGGATGTGGAAGAGACAATGATATGGGCCCAGATCTGCAAGTCCAGTTGCAGTAGGAGAAGCACGTGCCTAGAAATGTCTGTGTGACTAGTGCACAGAAAGGGTGTATTCTGCATTCAGGTAAGAGCTGCAAATATGCAATCACCCACTCTCTCCTCCTTCCCTTTGTGACCTCAAGGCTGCATGTGACACCACATATGGTGGAAGGAACTTGAGTTCCTGATGTAATGTGGAAGAGAGCTCCCTAACTCACAGTGGATGACAGTATGAAAAATTTTTATAAATCCATTCTGTTGACCATTCGTGAGTACATTTCTTTTTATCTCAGCATAGTCTAGTGTGTCCTACCTAAAACATAAATTAGTACTTTGAACCTGGTTATAGCCTTAACAATATCAACAACAAAAACCCTAAAATATGTGGCATTGGCTTAGAGAGGATATCATAAGCTAGAACATTAGCAGTATGTATGTGTTGTTACTGGCTGCATTTGGCAAAGGACTAAAAAATGAGATAAGCTTAGAAAAGAATTGGTGAAATTAAAAGGTAGGTAGATATAAGCCCAGTAAAGGAAGGTATAAAGCAGGAGTCCAAGTGGGAAAATTAAATGAAAGTCTGCATATTGAACAGTGAGAACTCTAGCTTACTTTCTTCCCAACTCCCTGCATGGTGGCAGCTAGGGATATATCCCATCCTGACCTAGCACAGAGTTGTAGGGATAGCTAATTAAGTGTACTTGTTAAGAATTCTTGTCTCCTTGACAAGAAGACATCCTAACACATGATTACCCTACTGTGCTCCCCACTGAAATATGCCTCTGCATAGAGAGCTTTTAGTCAGTCTCTAATGGAAAGAAGATATTTAAAAACAAACAAACAAACAAAGAAGAATTTAGAGGAAGCAGAACAAAGCAAGGAAAAGATGAAAACTAAAATACTACCAAAAGAGCAAATGAGACAATTCAAGTAATAAAGAAAACAGACAATGAAAACACAATGGTGGAATTAATATTTCTAGAATGATAAAAAAAGATATTCCAATGAAACAAGAACAGGATGCTATGAACAAATAATCAACAAACAGGAAAGACCCCTCAAAAACTAAACACACAAATAATCAAGAATAAAAAAGAACACAAACAGCACATCAATAGAAAGGTTAGAGGATAAAGTTAAGACTATCTCATCACATCGAAAAAGATGAAGACTTCACCAACCGGCAAGAAGCAAGAAGAAAAAAAAATAAAAGATTAGTTTAGGACGTCTAACACCAAAGCAATTGCTGAAAACAGAGATAAAAGAGGGAGCAAATTATCAGAGAAATAATAAAATAACATTCCCCAAAACTAAATATCATAAGACTCCACAATGAAAAAGTCTACAGCAAGTATATCATTATGAATATTAATACTACCACTAATAATGATAATGATAATAATATCCACATAGAGGTGCATTGTCACTAAGTTTAGAAAAGCATGATAAACAGAACATCTTAAAAACTTTCCTAAGAAAAAACATGGTTATCTGCTGCAGTGCAATAATTTATAAGAAAAATAAACATATTTCTTAGATATATTTGGTCTTCATCCACATTTACTGAAAGTGCCTCAGAGCCTTAAAGGCAAAATGGTTGTCTAGTTTTTAATGACTTTTGGACCCCCCTCCCCAAGGGAGAGACTGGTTGCCAGGGGGACCACCCTGTGATTAAAAGGTGGGAATTTTCTGTCTCTCTTCCCTGCACCTCCAGGGAGGAGAGAGGGTCTGGAGGTTGAATCAGCTGAAGGTCAATGACTTAGTCAATCATGACTATGTAATGAAGCCTCCATAAAACCCAAAGAGGATAGTTTTGTGGTTGTTTTTTTCAGAGAGCCTACATGCTTGGGGAACCACAATACTTCCACATCCCAGCCAGACCCCGAGCTTCATGAAGACAGAAACTCTTTTGCTTGAACTAGCCCCATGCATCCCTTCATTTGGCTATTGATTCCTATCTTTTATTACATCCTTTCATAAACTGTTAAATGTAAGTGTTTCTATGAGTTCTATGAGCTGCTCTAGCAAATTAACCAAACCTAAGGAGGAGGTCTTTGAAGCCTTAAATCTGTAGTTCGTTGGTCAGAAATATAGGTAACAGCCCGAGGCTGTGTGAGGGTGTGGGGACAGTCTTAAAGGACCGAACCCTTAACCTGTGGAATCCCTTAACCTGTGCTATCTCTGGGTAGGTAGTATCAGAATTGAATTAAATTCTCAAACACCCTACTGGTGTCCAAGAATTGTTTGGCATCTTGTTTTGGAACCCCACACTGGAATTGGGTCCAGGAACCCTAAAAGACCTACAAATAAACAGGAATCAAAATGGCACTGTAAATCTAAAAATGTAGAAATGCCTTCAAAATCCTGATTATAAATAACCTTAAATTGTATATCTAGACAAGCTATCAACCCATTGGGAGGGCAGAATAACAATAATTATAGCAATCAAGATTTCAAAAAATTGACCTTTTATGCACCTATACTTAGGGATATAATTTTACAAAAAAACGAGAATAAGGCAAGAAAGGGAGACACTTGGGGTTCAGAACACAGGGAGACCAACCCAGGAGAGGAGTAAGGAATTCTCAAACTGTAAGCTGGAGAAGAAAAGCTGGGACAGTTGTACAAAAGCCCCATGCGGTCCAATCTAGGTTAGAACCGGAGATGAAAGTCTCCAGTGACAAGGTCCTCAGGAAGCAAAATGGAACCTTCAGATTGAACTTTACCTGTAACACAGTGCTTGATCTGCATTCAGAAATAGTCTCTCATTCACAATGATTTAGGTGTGAATCTAAAACATGACTGTCAACTGGCTTTCATAAAGCCAATTCAAGCTATTTAAAAGATCATGGGTATATTCTGTACATCATCCTTAAATATGGAAGCTCTATCTTCCTGAAATCAAAATGAGAAACCTGGGAAACAAATGTGAGATGGGCAGCAATGAAACACATAGCTGTGAGCAATAGTGTCATTTCTGAAACCAACAGGTTTTCTATCTTCAGTTTTCAAATATGCCCTTTTGACAAGAATTTTCTACGCAGATGCTTCCCAACTAGACATTTTAAAGACATATTCTTGCAACACCTCAGCCTTTTTATGACTAAAAATACTATGTAGTTAAGAAAAATGTTCTAGTCCCAGCTTCTGAAACCATTGGCTTGGAATGAACTTAAGTATTCGAAACAGAGTATTGAATAGATTTCTTTCATGGAAATGACTAATGCAAGTTGTACACAAGTCTGACCAATTTCTAAAAACATTTGTAGGCAAAAAACTATTTAGATAGATTTTCTGTATGATTAATTACTTCATGAAGTATGTAGTCTGTGTAACAACTTTACACATTATCTTAATATTCATTGCTGCAAAGTACTGGTTGGGACCCTAACAATTTCAAGAGTAATTTTATATCTCAGGGTGTGTGATGTCACACTGCATCTATAGTTGCCTACTAGTTAGCAAGAGCCTTGCCATTGTCTGTGTCCATTTTTAGCCGTCTCCTAAAGACAAATTACTACAGAATATAGAAGGGCATTTGTTTTTTAACTGTCCATAATCCTTTTTTTTAGATGGTAGGTTTCTGGAGTCTTGGGTCAGTTTAATGCTAACCAACATTACATGATTGTACATGAAGCATTTCAACATACAACCAAAAATGATATGCTCATAAGCCTGTTCACTTTTGTGGTTGGCATGATTTTGCTACCTTGCTCTGTTTCAAGAAACATACACACAACTAAGTAAATTTGCTGGATCTAAGGTTTCTATCAAAGGACAGTGGTGGATTATGATGCGGGAGCAAAAGGGGGTTGCAGGCTGGAATTTTCCTCTGTTCCCATTCACAGCACTCATGGGCATGAAATGACACCTTGCAGAGGTCCCAGACGATGCGTGGGCACACAGACTTTCAGCCCCGCGCTAATCTGAACTCCTGGGTAAAGCTTCCTGAGAACAGCTAATCATTATTAATTCCTTTAGAATTCATTGCAATAACATCAATCATAGTGAACTCATTTGGTATTAATATGGATGTAATGTGAAAATGAATAATGCACACAGGAGTTTTTATATTCCTATTTTAGAAAAATAGTTATGAACAATGTATTTCTCTTTCCGTTGTCAAATCAGCGCCTCTGAGAGGTTTTCTATCAATTACCTTCATCATCATTCCAGTTGAAATCTTGTCAGAGCAAACATATTTCAAAGGATTATATCCAACTCCATTACAGCATTTCTGGCTCTTTGGAATAAGTTCAGTCTCACAGCATTTTACTGGCGCTGGGTCATTCTTTTTAACATGTGCTTTAGACTCTCCACTGGAAGCTGAGCAGCATATGGTATCTGACATATTCACATAATCCTGCCCACAACAGAACATCCCTGCAACAATAAAATGTTATACATGAATATGAAATTTAAAAAAAGGAAGAAAACTGAGCCTGCTATAAAGTTTGGTATAAAAACCTCAGACTCAGGCAGTTGCCGAAATGGTACAATACCTAAGGTAGCATTTACCTTCCAAGGTGATTTAAATGTGCAGTGAGGGGTCCTTCTTTCCAAGAGCACTAGACACTAATTAGGTAAAGAACACACAAGATGAAGTGTTCCAAAATCATTCAGTGGGGCCAAACTTCTCCCATGCTCCATAAAAAAAGACCTGATTTCTGTCATGAGAATTGCCTGCCCATTTTGTGATGATAACAGCTTGTTGGAGGAGGGATAGTTAGACTAAAGGGACTTGGAAGAAATCTCTGGATATTCACAAGGGAGAAAAAGTCACCCAAACACTATGGGATAATAGGCTAGACCTGGTGGAGAGGTAGCGCCATCCCAGAACTGGAGACCCTCTAGTAGGAGCCTTCTAAGTTTTTGCCTGGCTTTGTCTAGGATATAAATATTTACTTTGTGAACCAGCAGCAATAACAGTTCTTTCTTCATGAGATAGATCTATATTCAAAGTGTGTTCACTGGCCAGGTGAACCATTTGGCCACTGTTTTTTGAGCCACACTGTGTTCTGTGTTCATCACTAGACATGGGTAAGACGTTAGGGGCAATGGCAATAGAAAAAAAGCCATTGATTTCTACTTCTTGATGAAAAGCACGTGTGCCTGAGATACCAAATAGCCTCCTTTTTCCCACCAAATTCCATTAACTTCCTCTGTTCACATCATTTAGATCTTGCCATAGAAGAGATACAGCAGAAATTTAGACATAAAAGCCCACCCAAATAAATAAACAATACTCTAGAGTCAGATTAAGATGGAAATTAAGGTATCTATACCCCGTGTCACAGTGCTATCATATTGGAATTTATATCCACTTATATAGCAGCACAGTTGGATAAATGATTTATTTTAATTAGAATTTTGTTTATTTATTATTAGTCCTGACTGATCACATAAAGAACCTCAAATTCAAAGTGCCCTGGGGTTCTGAATTGCTTAATCTGGTCTTGTGCAAACACCTACATTATGAAAGATGCTCCTAATTATAGACCAACAAGTTTTAAGTGCTATTTTATTTTTAAATCATTGAAAGTAGATACTGGCTTGGCACATGTCTTAAGAAGGATGATTAGCCACACATGACTCCAAAGAACTCTCATTCATCTTTCTACTTTGAAAAATACCTCCCAATATGTGAATTTTTTAAATTTATTGTTAATGATCTATACATTGATCATAACTGAGTTTTGACATGCCATGTTTCAGTGTGATAATTGTTCAAAGTAACTGGTTTAAAAGTTGACTGTTTTCTTTGGTGGCTAATTCATAATTTTACATGTGCCATTTCTAAAAAAAGTTCTTTCAAATAAAAACACACAGCAGGGCTATCGCTGAAGTCTGAGACTTGAGTGTGGTGGGTAAAAATGACACACCCACCCACATTTGCACAGATGCAAAATACAAAAGTCCATGGCTTCAAGTTTTATATTGTTTGGACATTTTTTTCTGCTGTTTTCTGATAAGACATTTAAATACAGCCTTGGATTCTTTTTCATCATTTTTGTCTCTAGCAGTTTTCTTAAGATAATTCATGTTTCTATTTTAAAGAGTAATCAAAATTTAAGAACTGGCCCTTTAGGGAGCAGAATACACTCTCCCTTTCTACTCTCAAATTACTTTATGGTCTCACGATGTTTTAAGTATGAAATCAAAATGCAGACATTGACCTAATTCGAAACTCCTAATCAGTCCTCCTATCGCTCTGAGGGACTTCTGACAGGTCAACTCAAATTTTGATAATGAACTGTTTTTACATGAGGAAAAAAGGGTGCTTTCTTTCACAAAGAGCGTCACCTTTGTTTCAGTGAATTAAAATTTTCAGCCAAGATTTCACTCACATAACAAGAAGTGACTCCCTTTCGAGTTTCTTTGGTAAACCACTACTTCTTTAATTATTATCAACCTTGTTCCAGCGTGATAAATTGCTAATTACTTAATACCCTAATCAGCGTTCATTCTTTGCACAGATAAACTGTGACAGTGCCATTAATTTAAATAGTAATTTCACTTAATGGCCAGAACGGCACACCAGATTTTTATGCAGCATTTTCTGAAGACTGCATCCATCACTGCAGTATTCTGACATAAAGATGTCTGACGTGCACTAACTCACTTAGGGAGAGCAGATGTTGCCGAGCAGAGTTTGGTAGTAATTCCCATAGTGCATCACTTCAGCATGAATGAGCTGCAAATTCAGAGACAGACAATCTTCTGAAACTGCATTGCAATAACTTTTGACCCCTGCCTAATTTGTCACATGTAACACTTGACTTTTGAACTTTGACACACAGGATGCACAATTTTAAATATGCCCAAAGATAAACAAAACAGGACATGTGCTGCTGATGGATTGATCTGTTCTTCCAGAAGCTCTTCATTAAATTTGTACAAAGGTGGAGATGCTCTTTGAACAAGATGTGGATGTTATTAAAGTGGTACACTATGCATCGAACTATTAGATATTTATTTTTGAGATCAAACAGCATATATTGCTTTCCCAACAGCATATATATAATGGGCAGCTTCCGTTGTATTGATGCAATTAAGAAAACAGTGAAGGAAAGAATTTTTTACTCACAATATTGTGAATACTTCTAATGTTACCAACAATTATTTAATGTCCAGGACTAAAAGGAAAGTATTTATAAACACAGAATTTCACATATGCACAGATGCAAAATAAAATTTCTAAATTGTTAATTCTGCAAAACAGGAGGTCTGCTTTTCTTTAGAAAAAATTACCAAGAATATGAATCATGCTTTTGTGATAAAAACTGTACAACAGTAAAAGAGAGTCCACAAGATGACAAACCACTGTGGGACTCTGGGATTGCTCACAAGGGCCACATTTTAAGCCAATGGATTATATTTTGAGGCCTAGAAGAATGAAAAAAATTGTTTGTGATTAGTCATTCTTAGAATAAACTTATAAAATCGGTGGCAGAGCATGAAGAAAAAAAAAGTACATGCTGGTCTTTACCAGAAGATGGCTTTATGGCTACCACCAGAAACCTCAGAAAGAACATGGAGTAAAAATGCTCCCCAAATCATTGCAATGTATCTTACAGCATTTATACATTACACTTTTCAAAAACTCACTCTGCCCTACAGAAATCTTCCTGGGAAATATTCTTTCAATACAACTTATACACAATGGATTTTTGTGTTTTATTTCTCTCTTTGCGAAGTTCCCAAATCCCATCTCATACAAGAAACAGTGGTAGTCATTCATTGCACTGAGGTCCAGGTCCAGGACATTGAAACTCAGTGTCTATTCCCAGACACTTTCAACCCAGGGTATCATATCAAAGGCTATGTGGACAACATTTATAATAGAAATAAGGCAATAGATGGTAAAGGTGTATCATGAACAGCGTCTCATGGCTAACAGAAAATCCTGTTCTCTTTGATGGATAGACTTTAATTTCTGTCTTTTAATACTAAGGGATCTAATCAGGTCCAACCCAAGATGAACGGCATAAATGATAAAACCACATCAGCAAATACTGAGAATCAAAAGAGTAATAAAGTGGTTTAAAATATATTCAAAGAAAATGGTCAAGAATACATATCCACTGAAACGATGAGCGTGACTTTCATCCTGAGATACCTGTGTAACGCTCCTACACGACTCGCCTGCCCAGAGAGTACTAAAATCATAAACGCTACCCCAGCACTTCTGCTCCAACAGCATCTGTTAATTCACTCCATTTATAAAATACATATTGACAAAGACAACTGAACTGGGACCAGGGAGATTTGATTTGGTGTGAGAAAGTCAATTCAATGTGATTTTGTTAAAGGGCTCCTGCAGGCAAATAAAAGAGTTTAAGTAATAAAGTGCATGAAGAGATGTTTTATGAGCCAGCCTGGTCTCGTGGCAGGCACACAATGCCAGGCAGTGAGAGAGGCCAGGCTTACGAACATTATTATGGCATCCAAACCCTTGTGTAGCAGGTATGGTGTTGCTAAGTCGAGGAGAGAAAGGGGCCAGATGGACAGTCTGGAAGGTCACTAAGGTCACAGTCATTAGGGGCGACAGGAGGGAGCGGCAGCAGAGAGGAAAAAGACATGTGGAATGTGTCTATTTTCAGTGAAGCCTGCAGGAAGGTCAAGAGAATAAAAAGGGATTTTCCCCCCCTTTTTCATGTATCTTTCCTTCAGTCCACCGTGATTACCGCAGTTGGTGGAACTGCAGAATATCACGAGAGATTCTAGAGTTGATCTTGATTCACAAGGGTTGAGGAATGTTACAATTTTCTTAAGAAATATTTGACTAGCATGGACTATCACATGGAAGTAAATTTAAAATGTGATTCTGAGATTTGGGGCCATGGATGGATTTCAAGGGTATATGAAATTGCAGACATATTTTTTTTTGTGTGTATATTCTATGTATTATTATTTGAAGCAAGGGTTTCTAACTTTTGAAATTTTCTAAAGGGAGTATACAGTCCCCAAAAGATTATGATCCATTGTTCTGGTAGACAGTGACCTCCGCTCCTAGAAAAGGTACAGTTTACTTTTTTGTAATGGTGTTCTCAGTGACTTATCTTTCCATCTCCTTCACTTTCATGTTTTCATGCAGATCTAATTTATCCTTAAATCACAGTTCTTATCACCATATTACATGTGGTGTACACCTCCAATAAACCCAACTGCTCACTACTACTTAGACATGCATTGCAGATTGCTAATTTCACACTTTAGCTCAAGCTATTTCCTTTAGCTGAAAAGTCCTTCCATCCACTTCTCAAAATTTTACTCATTGTTTGAGATTCCAATCCAAGGGTTTAACTTTTTTCATTTCCTTAACTGGAGTGATCTCTGTTATAAGAATTTGCTTGTATTTATCCCTCTCTTATGGCCTGTCTTTAACCTTATAGGTACATTTCTCCTTGACTAGATTGCAACTCCTTGAGGATAAAAGTGGAATCTTAGCTATTTTTATACTCACAAAGCACAGAGAGTATCAAATACTGAATATGGTCACTATACAATACATATTTATTGAATGAAGGAATATGGTAATTGACTAAAAAAAGCAACAGAAGAATAAAGATGCTAAAATGAGACATTTTGCTGCTATTTGAGAACTCTGACCCAATATGGTATGGGGGTGTGGGGTGGTCAACGCTTTTGAATTCTTCCCTCCCCTGCCACCATGGTTCTGTCTCTAATGGACCTGTTTTAGCTCATTCATCTAAAGAAGGGAGAGGTACCCAAATGGTTAGTCACAGCACAGGATAACTAACCAATTGCACAGTTTTCTGGTAGATGTTACTGCTATGACTTAAGGCAGTGGTTCTCAAAGTTTGATCTCAAGACCCCTTTTATACTTTCATAAATAATTGAGGACTCCAAATAGTTTTTGTTTATATGGGTTTTCTCTGTTGATGTTTACTGTATTATAGCCTAAAACAGAACATTTTGCAATATGCATTTACTAATTCATTTAAAATAAAATATATAACATAAATATTTATGAAAAATAAACATATGTTCCAAACTGAGAAATGTCAGTGAGAAGAATGATACTGTTTTACATCTTTGCAAGCCTCTTTCATGTCTGGTTTCATAAAAGGCAATGAATTAGCATTATCTGCTTCTCCATCCAACTGATGCAATATCACACATCATATAACCTCTAAAAACTCCACTGTACACTCAGGAGAAAATAAAAGTAAAAAAGTTATGTCTAACTTTGACATATGTGAGGTGTGCAGTCAAAGGGCAGAGATTCCTATGAGTCCTTTTTTTCTGGTCATCCAGAAAATGCTTGAACTTGATAGTTATAGTTACTGAGTCTGCCCATCAGACTTAATGAAAGTTGATATGCTTTGGGTTAGAGTACCCAATGCTTGTCAGGTACCAGAATGCTCAGGGAGTTTAAGAGCATGGACTCTAGTCATTTGGCTTAGAATCCCTTCTTAGCTACAGCAGCAAAGATTCATAGGCTAGTCTCCCAGCCTCACTGGCATTTAGGTGTCCACATGTAGCTGAGTTCTAGTGAATGAAATGTTAATAAAAATATTTGCTGTTTTTAGACCTGGCCAATAAAAATCTCATATACATGGCTACTCCTTGCTCTTTTCCCATTTGGGACACATAAGTGGATACAACTCCCAGGTGACCTTACAAGTTACTTGTTGAAAATGACAGAGCCTCCAACAGCCATCATAACTGGGAAAGAGAGCTATCCTACAGTCAGGTTCTCATTATATGAAAAAATCCCTATTGTATTTGGCCTTTATAAATTCTGAGGTGCATTTATATGAGCAGTCAGTGTTACCTAATGTAATACACCCACACACGTACTAGTTGTGCTATTTAGTAAAAGTGCTTGTGCTTTCCCATCTGCAAAATGGAAGTAATCATATTACATAACTCATAGGGTTGCTGTGAGGATTAAAAGTGTTCATGTATATGAAGCACACAGAACTCAGCTTGGCAAATAGTGAACATGGAATGTTGTTTACTTTCTGTGGCTATTGTATTTTGTCTCCTGATCACTGTGAACACCTTTTAGTCATAAAACAGTGTCTAAGACACCCTTACTGGGCTGGATTCCTTGACTGGACTTTAGTTATCTTTAGAATGCTAACTTCTTAAGTCCATAGTCCACTGGGGAAACTTCTGAAAAGACTATGTGCCTGCACTGGACTCTTGTGTGTTGTATGATTTAATACATCATTCATTTTCAAAGATCTTGGAGGGTTGGTTTTTGTTTGTTTTGGTTTGCTTTACCTGTCAAAGTCAACTTTGTTGTCACCTTATAATACAGATCCACGTGCCAAGTCCCATGTACTGGAGGTAATCCTCAAATTCTTGGGATCGATGAACATGTCCTAACTGAAACCTAGTTCTGTTGTATGGAGGACAACTATCCACTACTACTATTTTTGGGACAGTTGATACAGATCAACAATTTACATGGGACTATCAACCAGTCTGACAAAGTATACTTTAATATATTCCTCCAAATATGTCCCACTGGGTTGGATTAAAAAAATGCATATGATGGATACACTGTAGATTCATCTGGGTGGTTTATAATTTCATAGAATAGTAAATGCCTTGGATTCATACCTGATGATTGTCCAAAGATAAAATAAGAAAATGGAAATCAAGTATTATGTGGCTCAAAGATTAGTCTTTCGCATATTGGGAGGATTGAAATTTAATTGTGGTTAATTTAATTCAGCATTTCCTTGTTATTTAAGGGCTCTCAAATATTGAGAGTCTAGTATTCTCATTAAGGCACAAGATTTTAGTACCTCCAGGTTGAATACTTACTATTTATTTTTTATTTATTTGTTTTGTTATGCAAGTTCTCAATAATTTTCAACAGAATTTTACATAGAAGAGCGTATGTGCAAGAAAATGTTGCATGTGTTATGGATAACTCTTTGGTGATTTTTTAAAAGAGAATAAATTATAGAAAGACAATAGAGAATGCATAGTTCATCTCCATCAAGATATTATGGTGTCCTGAAATCATATTTAAGAGAGGCTGGAGTTTCAACACTTACTAGTTACAAAGGTAGATTTACCCTGAAACTAATGAAGCTCGAGCTTCAGGGCCCTTTTCTTGCATGAGCTCCTCCTAAGGCAAGTATGGTTATATATTTTTATAACATATGCAAATGTATAATATTTAACCACATTTGTTATGGCCACTGTTTTTTGCCCCTTTAACTTTCCCTCTGTCATATGTATCTTCATTGTAATTGATTCCAATGGACATTTTTGAAATCTAACTAGGGAGAAGTCAAGTTGGAGAAATATTTAGTATGGATTCAATAGATATATTTATATGATTCCAGTAACTTCTATAAAAAAGTTGTTAAGACTTAAACATGCCATTTTAATTACAATTTGGAAAGATAAGGAATACGAGAAAACACAGACTCCTAATTTGTATTCAAATAAAAGGAAGTTCTAAAGAAAGAGAAAGATCAGATAGAAAAATTAATGTAATATCAAAACTTGTGGAAATGAACAATGGAATCCATTGAAATATTCTGACATCAAAAAGAGAATTATAACAAAATTAATTTCAGATCACACCAAAATTAATAAATTTTTAACAGAAAATGATGGATCTAAGATTGAAGCAATGCACAGGCAATGTGGTTTTTTGAAAATAAAACTTATGAAGGGAAGTAATTTAAATATATTGGGAAAATTTATACTTGTTGATATTTAGATAAAAGTGACATTATGAGAAAACACAACTCACATTCAGTCATATAAGAAGGATATCCATGAAATATTGATTAATGGTGGTGTCAATTCAACAAGTAATTAAGAAAAATCACTGTACATCACTTTAAGAAAGAAAACTTAGAATGATCTTAAATTGTAAAAAGACCATGGAAGATATTTCTCCAAATTTCACGATAATCCTAAACATGTACATAATATTACAATGAGTTGTGAAGCTTAAAGCCACTTTTCTAAACTTGAGATAATTAAAAAATGTTTTGATTAACAATGTAACAGGAAAGAATGAACTATCTTTGTATTCTTCTATAGATAATTGTAGTGCAAAGGATATAAATTAATTATTTTGGAGGACGAAGAGGGATATTAGAAGTCAAATAATCCAAATATACTATTTTGTGAGTGAGATTTGCTAGTATTTTTTTTTAGATCTGTAGTTTCTATAGTTTATTTTCTCCTTCTAGATAAATATCTATTTTGGTCTTATTTATATAATTTTGTTTTTTTTTTTTAAAGAGTATATTCCAAATTGTGTAACTTTCAGGTACCCAAAAATCTAGATATGACTAGCTGCACAATCTTGAGCAAGTGTCTAATCTCTGTGACTCAGTTTCCTCTTTTAAAAATTGTGGATAATAATAGTACCTATCTTGGAAGATTCTATAACAATTGAGGTAATAATGTATAAAACACTGGGCATAGTACCTGCTAGACAGTTAAGTACTCAATGATAGTGATTGCTATTGATATTAGTGCTAATTTAATAGCTATAGAAGAATAAAGGAGTAAAAAAATTATGACATGAATCATCAATAATAATTTTGTATGCTGTTAGTATTTGGTAGGAAATATTCTCTTGACTCTAAACCAATACATTTGTGTATGTTTTTGTTTTTGTTTATGGTTGACATGTTTCAAGAAGAAAAAGTTTTGATCTGTTTTAATGAAATGTATCACATGAACATAAAAAAAGTAAGATTAAATTTTTTGTTATGCAATATGTATGTAATTGTTGCATTAGATATAATTAACCTCAACCTTAACTACGTTTGTTTTATTCTAGGGAAGATTTCTCATCCTCTCTGCTTGTCAGATTCTCCATCTACTGCAAGGTAGACAGGACCCCTTACCTGCAAGGCGGCTGTACACAACACCCTTTTCTGCTCCACCACAGCACTCTAAATCTTTGCTTACAATCTGTCCTCCGCAGCACTGCTGGCCATGGCCATCATGAAGCCTCCCAGCACAGCAAATCTGGTTTCCTGAGGTGGAGTAAGGCATTCTGCCACAGCAGGAATCGCCAATGCCAGTGGAAACCCGATTGTGCTGTTCATCTGGACAGCATACTTCACCTGTCAATTTAGGACAATAACCATCATTGCATGAGTTAAAAAAAATATGCTTTGACTCACAACTAAATTTTATAACAATCGTATTGCAGATGCCAACTGGTTGACAGAATTACTAGAAAAAATGCCATCCTTCTGTATGCAGTTGTAAAATCTCAATACAACTACAGAATTTTTGCAAAATATTTAAACACATGTGTCTGCTCATATACACTCATGCCAACTTAGAGGTAAGGCTAAATGGCCTGTTGCTTCTCTGATCACTAATAAATGAGCACATTCGTTTCAGTGACATGATTAAATGACATTATAAAAATGTTTGTTTACAATACATGTCTATCTATTTAGTATAATATTTTTTGAAAGTGGGGTGGATTCAGAAACAACTCTTAACAAATTTTTATTGCCTATTATTACAAATTCTTTAACCAATCTACACTTACTTAACCAAACAAAATAATTCCAAAAGGAAGGTCAATTAATTGAGAGGAGGTAAAAATACTTATTCAAGTCAGCAAACTAGTACTTTGCTGGACTATGGCAGACACTGAATTTCACTAATGTAGTTACACTCACATTCCCCTTTACATAATATTCTAGGAAACTTGAGATAAGAATGAAATAAACTTTTGCCTGGTGCCTTGGAATCAAAGGGTTCAAATATTCTAAATATCATTAATTGGCATTTATTTGGAAGGTGATTAGGAAGAGGTTTCTAATAGAGAAAAAGAAAATTAAAATTTATTTCCTTAAGGATACCTTAGAAAGAAACAAGTTGATGGATCTAAAATTCAAACTTCACCTCTTCTGTCTATCTCATGACCCCTGAACCTTTATTTCCTCCTCCCCATGACTTATTCTTTTTCTTCTTGTACCTTCAACAGATCCTCTTCCCTCTCAAGTCACTGAATATTTAGGGTTGCCTTAAGAATTTATAGTCCTGTATTCCCTGATCTAAATCAATTAGTTCATCTAGTTGCTTGGACAAGATATGCCAAAGTTTGGTTAGTTAAAGCATAATCAATTGCTTACCAAAATAATGTTAAAAATATGGGACAGTATTTTTGTTGATCAATATATAAAGTGTATAAAAAATAGGACAAGAACTCTTAGCAGTTATCCCTGAAGTCTTTCTCATCCAAATTCATTGCTCAAAAATCCATTCTACTAGATGAAATAGACCAATTACTCTGAAGACTGAATCATGAACAAATTGGAAGTCTGAATAGATCTATAACTAGTAAATAGATTGAATCATTTTTCAAGAATCTTCCAACAAAGAAAGGACTTGAACAGGATGGTTTCACTTGTGAATTTTACCAAACATTTAAAGAATTAACACCAATCCTTCTCAAACTCTTCCAAAAAATTGAAGAGCAAGAATATTTCCTAACTCAATCTATGAGGCCAGCTTTACCCTGACACTAAAATCAGAAAGACATTTCAAGAAAAGAAAACTACAGACCAATATCCTTTATAATTATTGATACAAAAATCTTAAACAAAATACAACAAGAATCCAATAGCACATTGAAAAGATTATACAACATGACCAAGTGGGATTTATTACTAGATGCAAAGATGACTCAACATATAAAAATCAATCAATGTATTATATTATATTATCAATGAAGGAAGAAAGACACATGGCTATCTAAACTGATGTAACAAATACATTTGACAAAATTCAACACCACTTCATTATAAAAACATCCTGCAAACTAGTAATAGAAGAAAACTATCTCATCATAATAAAGGGAATATATGAAAAATCCATAGCTAACATTATATTCAACAGGGAAAGTTTTTCTTCTAAGATCAAGAAGAAGACAAGGATGTCAACATTTGCCACTTCTATTCAATGTAACATTGTAAGTTATTGCAAGGGCAATTAGGCGAGAGAAAAAAATAAAGGACATCCAAATTGAAAAAAAGGAAGTTAAATGATCTGTTCACATATGTAGAAAACCCTAAAGATTCTACAAAAAACCCTGTTGAAATTTAAAAAAAATTCAGCAGCATTGTAGTATACAAAACCAACATGTACAAATCAGTTATGTTTCAGAATGAGCAATCTTAAAAGGAAATTATAAGGACAATTCTATTTACAATAGTATAAAATGTACTTAAGAATAAGCTTAACCAAGGAGGTGAAAGATTTGTACACTTAAAATTAAAAAACTTGCTGAAAGAAATTAAAGACACAAATAAATAGAAGGACCTTTCATGTTCATGGATTAGAAGACGTGAAGATGTCAATACTACCTAAAGTGATCTACAGAATCAATGCACTGTCTATCAAAATCACAATGTTTTTTGGTAGAAATAGAAAAATTAATCCCAAAATTTCAGTGGAGTCTCAAGGGACCCCAAATAGCAAAAAAATTTGAAAAAGAACAAAATAATCTTGAAAAAGAACAATCTTAAAAAAAAAAACCAAAAAAAACCCCAAAATGGAGGTCCCCCATTTTCTTATTTTAAAACTAACTACAAAGCTACAGTGTGGTCCTGGTACAAAGACAGACATACACACCAATGGAAATAGAGTAGATAGCCCAGAAATAAAATCTTGTTTTCAACAAGCATGCCAACACCATTCAATGGGGAGAGGAGAATCTTTTCAACAAATGGTGCTGGGAAAACAGAATATCCACATTCAAAAGAATTAAGCTAAGCCTTTACCTTGTAGCATATACAAATATTAACTTAAGATGGATCTAAGACCTAAATGTAAAAGAAAAACTATAAAATCCTTAGAAGAAAACATAGGAAGAAATCTTCATAACATTGCATTTGGCAATGAATTTCTTGAATATGACATAAAAAGTACAATCAACAAAAGGAAAATAAATAAATTAGATGTCATCAAAATTAAAAAGGGTTATATATCAACATACACTATCAGCTGAGTGAAAAGGCAACTTATGGGAGAAAATATTTGCAAATCATATATCTGATAAGGGATTAATATCCAGAAAGAACTCCCACAACTCAACAAAAATACAAACAATCTAATTAAGAAATAGGCCAAGGACTCACATAGACATTTCTCCAAAGAAGATATAGAGAAGGTTTATATCACATGGAAAGATGCTTTATATTACTAATCATTAAGGAAATGCACATCAAAACCTCAGTGAGATACCACTTTACCCCCAATAGGATGGCTATTATCAAAAAAAAAAAAAAGAGAGAGAGAGAGAGAGAAAGAGGGAGAAAAAAATGTGTTAGCAAGGAATAGGAGAAATTGGAACTTTTGTGTATTGCTCCTGGGAATGTAAAATAGTATAGTTACTGTAGCAGTTCCTTAAAAAATGAAACATGGAGTTATCATATGAACCAGGAATTCTACTTCCAGGTATTTAGCTACAAGAATTGAAAGGAAGGTCTCAAACAGAAAAGTGTACACCAATGTTCAGAGTAGAATTATTCACAATAGACAAAAGGTGGAAAGTTGCTGCAGTTAACTTTAATATCCATCTACAGATGAATGGCTAGCCAAAATGTGGCATATACTTACAATGGAATATCAGTATCAATTCTGAAAAAGGATTGAAGTTTTGACACATGGTACAAAATGGATGGATCTTGAAAACACTATGCTAAGTGAAATAAGACAGTCATAAAATGACAAATATTAGATGATTCTACTTATAGGGGGTACTTAGAGTAGTCAAATTCATAGGGACAGAAAGTGAAATGGTGGTTTTCAGGGACTGGGGATAAGGGGCAAAGGCAAGTTGATATTTAATGGGAACAGAGTTTCAGTTTGAGAAGATAAAGTTGTTCTGGAGATGGTGGTGGTGATGATTGAACAGCAGTGCAAATGTATTTAGTACTACCCAACTGTGCACCTAAAAATGATGAAAATGATAAATTTTATGTTATGTATATTTTATCACAATAGAAAAAAAGTCCAGTTTTGGGTTAACAAGTCCATACTTAGTTTCAGAGACTTACTATAACCTTCCAGGAATACTATGGTCTTAATAGAGGTATAGATTTCTCAATTTTCCAGAAAACAGAAGATAAGGTATTAGACTGTTCCTCCTCTCTCTCTAAATTACTAGAGCTTGCTAAGCAGCTGGAAGACATTTTGGTTCAGAAAAAAAAAATCAGACCAAATTAATAGCTTTCCAGATTAAAGAATTAGAGAAAGCCAAGCACAAGGACACTTCCATGTCTAATCTTCACAAAGGCAACTGTCAATTATTGTGAGGAAAAGGTATTGGAAGAACACTGTCTTGGAGGAAACTGTCAATTATTGTGAGGAAAAGGTATTGGAAGAACACTTGCTATATTTTAGCTAGAAATAACCAAAAATGAATATGGGGCAACTACAGTTCAGATACGGGATTCACAGAGGAGGCTAAATCCTAAAGGTCTGTATGAATTTGGGTATGTTCTTACTGAAGTTGGCCCCAGATCTAAAAAACGAAAGAAAAAAAAAGAGGAGGCTATTGAATAACTCTGATCCATTGTATCCACATACCTCCAGAAAGCTATCCTGTGTAGTAACCCTTATAATATCCTATTTATTTTATCAAAGATAAATGACTTGTATACCACTTTGTCCAAAATTTAAAGGCCATTAACAGATTGTGCTTTCTCACTTCTCTGTAGTTCTCAACCCTAACACTATCCCATCTTCAGTCCCTGAGACAGCTGCTTAATTTAGAGTAATAGATACATGCTCAATGGTTTTTTTGTGTACTTTTGCACTCAGACTCACAATATCATTTTGCACTCAGTTAAGATAAGAGTTTACAGGAATACCCTCTTAATTTTCACAATTAATTAACCGTCAACTTAGTGTAGCAAACAGAATATGGCCTCCCAAAAATGGCCACATCTTAATCCCTGGAACCTGTGAACATTACATTATATGACAATTTATCTGATTGCAGATAGAATTAAGTTTGGTAAAGTGATGTAAGAAAGGTTTGACTGGCCTGGAAGATGGAGGGAGCCCCTAGCCAAGGAATATGGGCAGCCTGTATAAGGTGGAAAAGGTAAAAGATTCTCTCCTTCAGAAGGGACTGTGGCCAAGACAACACCTTGATTCTAGCCCAGTGAAACCCACCGGGGATTTCTGCCTTTGAGAGATGTAAGAGTAAATTTGTGTTGTTTTTAGCCATTAAGTTTGTGGTAATTCTCACAGTAGCCTTAGGAAACTAATATACTGAACATATCTAATTCCTTCTTTAAAACTTCCCTTTTATACAATGTGTGGGTAATCTTCTGTTATATTCCCCAGAGAGTCTTGAAAAATGAATTCCTGCTGTTTGTTGACATTGGTAACACCCAAGAGACAGTCTCCAAAGATTAATTTTTTCACAAGAAAGTGTACTTTCTTGGGTTTAGATTCTAGACTGTGTTATCATTCAAAATGGAAGGTTTCTTTCTCTTCAAAGGTTGGAAGCTACTCATAACTTCTACAGCTGATATCAAAAGTCAACTTAGATAAAGGACGCTTGGTCTCATAGAATCAATGAGAATCAGTGAGAACCCTTGGTCTCATAGCATTTCAACACCATTAGACATTCAATTCCTAGGTTTTGTGAACAGATTTATAGGATCTGATGGAAGCAGACACACTGCAGTTTTTGCTCTAAAACAATCCATAGGAGACTATCTCTGTCACTTAAAGGATGCCTGTTAATAGTCATCACGGAATTATGTAAGACAGTATCTCTAAAAGCTCAATCTAATATTTAACCATGAAAATTCCAGTTTTGACTAGGAGGGTGACTTAGCCATGTCTCACTTTTCCTATTTGTAAAATGGAAATATAATTATAAAGCATACTCCCTAAAAATATATATATATTCAAAAAGTTCACCTAGTAAAAATGACCTTTTCTGGATGCTTAGTTCTACGCATTTTAGCACAGGAACACAATCAGTTTTTATCCTAGCACAGTCTAGAATCTAGACCCAAGAAAATACCTCCTTCATGCCGAGACACCCTCCTCCACCCGTGACCCTTGGCAATCACTGGTTTCTTCTCTGTGATTTTGCTTGACTTTTCACATATGTCAGAGAAATGGAATCTCATAGCACTTTTTTGAGATTGGCTTCTTTCACTCTGTCCAATGTTTTTTTTGGTATTTATCAATTGTTTGCTCCTTTTGAGTGCTGGGTAGTATTTCTTTGTGTAGATGTTCCACTATTTCTCTATTTATCCACTGAAGGACTTTTGAGCTGTTTCCAGTTGTAGGGAAAATGGAAGTTCCATGGTCAGGGTCCTCACCTGATCCTAATCTAATCTACCCACTGTGTATGTGCGATGGTGTAATTCTTAGCCTACTGTACAGGAGCATGCTTGTTGCTTGTACATCTGTTGGCAATAAGCCATTATTGCCTATGTTGCTATAAAGAGTTCCCAGATGCTAAGAGCAGAGCCTAGAGAAGAGAACAAGAGACAGATGCAGGATGGGAGCAGAGCGGATGCTGGGGGTGATGGCAGAGACTGCAGCAGGGGCAGCGCTGGGGCAGAGACGGAGAGAGGGGAAGATGAGATTCTAGTGCTTGACCCACCACAGTGAGAGTAAAGCTGGGTGTGAGCCCCTTTTGACCCCCCAATGCCATTGTCATTTTTCAGTCTCACCGAATCCACAGTGTACTTGCCCGTGGCTGAAATCCTCAGGCAGGACACCAGGTTTTGGCAATGATGAATAGAGCTGCTATAAACATCCATGTGCAGGTTTTTGTGTAAATGTAAGTTTTCATTTCTCCAGGGAAAATACCCTGGAGTGGGCCAAGGCAAACTCAGTTTTCTCTCAAGATATGAATTCCTAGAATGCAGGGATAGTTGGCTTGGTTGATGATCTTTGGAAGGATCCTGTGGCATGGTATGCATAAGCAGAAGGGAAATTACTAAATTTTTCATGATAATTCTACTAGAGGCCAATAAAGGAGGAGTGAGCTTCCTGTAAGATAAATTTTAGCTGAAATAAGCAGGTGAAGAGAGGCAACAAAGGGCCAGGTAGTTTATTTGAATGGCACTCCTGGGTAATGTTCTGCGGTCTGGGTATTACAGGCTGGGAAAGTCACACCCAGTGAGGGAGGTGGGGGCTTATAAGGGGTTAGGAGGGGGAGGAGTGGGCAAGCTATCCTAGGGGGCGTGGAGAGGTATGATTGGCTAAAGGTGACATAATAGACAACTAGAAACTTTCTTCCTTCCAAGAGGGAGGAGGCTGACATCCGGGTCTTAGTTGGCACATCAGAAGGATGGAATTCAGGAAGAGCTGCCCCTTTCCATATAAGGCACGGACCTTGGGGTCTGGTCTGTTCTCCCCCCATGGCAGCTCTCTGTTCTGTTTGCATGTCCTTGTTTTTCCTTCCTCCAGCCTAACACTTACCACAAACAGTAAACTTCCTGTACTTGTTACATTCCTCTGAGTGAAAGGATTTTCAAGCTTGGTCTGAAATGTAATTGCCCTGCTCTTGACTGTCCGCAGCCGGAGAATACAGTGTCTCTTGGTAAAACCTTCTTTAATATCATGTGTCCCATGGTCCAGGAGTAACATCATTTAATTAAATAGAAGAACTTAGGACAACAGTGGGCTTTGAGGAAACATAACATACACATTTATATTGGCAAAAAACAACAAATTTTTTTATAAAGGTACTTTTGCGTACAGATAGTCATTGGTTTAGATATTTTAGGCACATTTCCCTGAATCCCTCAGAATCTTATTCCATTACTGACAGAAGAAGAGGCTTTATAATAAGAGATGGGGATTATATCAATAAGTAAAACTGATTTTTTTCCCCCCCTCAGTAAAGGGTTATTAGACATAATATACAAGGATCAGTCACCTTCTCATTAACCTCTCAAAATGAATCTATTTCACAACAGGCTTGAAAATGTTTTCTCTCTAAAAGCTACCATGCAGTCTTAACAGTTAATTGTTATTCTTATCAAAGAATGACCCACATTAACATTTAGCTTGAGGTCATTAGCATATTTATAAAAAAAGTGGAGGAGAATGAGCATTCTTTTCTCTGCTGCTCTTTGTTATGGGGTGTTGTAGAGGAAAGTTGTGAGGAAAGAAAATGAAGTAAATATTATTAACCTATTTCAGACTTATCTATAAATATCAAAATGTCTATACCCATCTCAACTGTGAACTGGCAGACCACTGATTGAATTTTAATTACATTTAGATACAAGACGGTTTGGGTCACTATGCTTGCTTTCTTGATGTAAACAAGTTAAACTAGTTAACAAAGACCACTGGCTGGTGATAGAAGTCACAATGTAATTTTTTCATTTAGGGACATCGAGATTAATGATTGGAGAAAAACTTTCTCTTTGATTATCCCATGAGATTGCTTTTTCCCCTGAGCACCACAGTAGCCATTCTAATACTGTGAAAAATGAACTAAAAAGGAATCAGAGTGAGGATGATGCTCAACGGTTTGGTAGACATTCAAATACCAGAGATATGACATCTATAGATCATAAGGGTTTTAATGACTCTTGTTTTAAAATTCCTTATTAAAAAGTTTTATATAATATCAATAAATGACCTTTGGGTATCCATGTCTTATTTCATTTTTAGGAAAAGAATGTTAAATTTTACTTGGAAATAGAAAAAAAATGTGGATTGTTGTCTTAATTTGAAACCTGACACTTTGTGTTAGGATTGAGAAAGGTGACAGGCAAGTATGAGTTAATATAGAGGCATCCAGGTATTTTTCATCAATTTCAAGAGATAGAAGATATTTTTCAGTATAAATAGTTAATTGCAAATCATAACATCAAAAATTGTAATGTGACAGAAATGAAAACAGTATTATTTAGTTCTATGCTAGACTTCGAGAAAAGCCTAATATGGTCCATTGGTTTGAAGAATGGAAAGATGGGAACAAAAGAGCATTTCCATCTCATCTATGTAATTACAATTTTCAAGGCAATTTCTTGTAGGGGAGAGAACATAGGGGATGAGTTGAAAACTCCTAAGTGTGATGATTTTACAAGAGTAAAGCATTTGACAGTGTTCGATTATTTGCTAATAAGCTTTCTTACTGGAAAACCTAGTAGACTGTTACTCAATATGAAAGTATTTTTTCATCAGTATCAGACATAACAGCACTATTCTACAGACAAATTGTTATAGTAGTTTTAAGGGCAAAATTATGATTGGTGTTTTCCTGCTTTGAATAAAGTTGCAGAATACTTAATCATTTCACCTTCCTTTTTTGTTCCAGTGTATTTGCAAAAAAGACACTAGGTGACACAATTTCTCATGTCACATACTTTGAAGGGGTATATTTATGCCAAACAATGAAGGTCTTTGAAGGTACATTGAACAATATCTGAACTAACTTGACGTTTGCATAAATTTCACCTTCAACTAGGTATCTCAGAGCTTTCAGCTTTCTGTGGACATCCAAACCTGCGCCTTTCTTCTCTTTCTCCCTTTCCACTTTCTGTGATTTTAAAGAAGACATAGGCATTAACCACAGGTAGCAGGAAAAAAAAATCTGTATTTATTCTTAATGACTTTCCCAAGATAAACAGTAACTGACAGTGGCAATAATGATGATGTTTAGAAGTCTGGAAAATTCATTTACAAAAGCTATGAATAAATATTAATATTTTTTGGTTATGTAAGAGTAAATAGATTACTTAAAAGAGCATGGATTTTTGAGAGAAACACTGAGACTTGAAATTCAACTTTTCCACTGCCATCTATGAACCTAACATATGAATCAATAACATACTGATCCTCTCTGAACCCATTTTCTTACTTGTACACTTTGGATAAAATATCAATCTTCTACAGTTGTGAAAAATATATAAAGAATCATATATAAAGTCTTTCATACAGAGCCTGTCCAAGACTTGGTGTTTTATAAATACCAATTTTATTTTCTTTATTCTCAATGACAATCCCTGGACATTGTTTTGGGTAGTTGAAATTTGGGAAAATGGTGTATTCAGTCAGCTGATAAAAGAAAAAGGAAGGGTGGGGAGGGAAAAAACCTTGCTTGCTAGTCTTTGCTGTATTCTCCTTCTATCCAGCCTAGTCCAACAGTGGAACAGTCTCAGCTAAGTGGGATTTGTAGTTATAAGCTATCCAGGAGCAATGCAGGCATCATTCTGAATAGAAACAGAGGGGATGGAAAACAGTTTCACGGAATGGAACACTTAGAAATTCATGGGGAAAGTATTTTGCCATGTGAATAAAATAAAATCACAAAATAAAGGGAGTTATTCAGGACCAGATATATTTCCTTAGAGAAGAAACCAGGGGTGCCTTGTATTCTTTTTTTTTTTTTTTT